CACGGATATGTTATGGGGTGATTGTCAAGAAGATAGACCACTAGTTGAGGTGGTAGACCCACCAGTCTGGTCAGATCTTCCAGAATAAGCAGCAAGGCCCATTTGAGAAGTAATACCAGTAGAGGAGAAGGGGCCTCTTACAGCATCAGAGTGAGAAAGCAAAGACTGGGACAATGAAGCGCCTTGGTCTTGGCTGCTCTGGTGGGATGAGTCAACAGATGAATCAGAGTGAGAAAGCAAAGACTGGGGTGCAGATGCACCCCGATCTTGGCTGCTCTGATGTTTATCAGTATCAGATTGAAGAAGCAAAGACCGAGCTACAGAGGCGCCCTGGTCTTGGCTGTTCTGAAGTAACGTACCACCGGTGCCAGATTGAGGAAGCAAAGACCGGGATACAGAGGCATCCCGGTCTTGGCTGTTCTGTTGTATTATATCTGACTGGTCAGAGGTACTGTTGGAGTTAACTGAAATAGACTGATTCTGGTTGTTCAAAATAGAATAAAGCTGAGGTGCTTTAGCACCTAGGCCCTGTGTCACTTGGAACACCCCATTTAACACCTTCCCTGTTAAATTACCACTCACATATAGCCCTGATCCCTTCACTTTGATGGACCTCCTGTCGATGTCAGCATTAACAAGTTTCCATCTTTCCTTCATCAGGATCCCACGTTCTCTTCGTTCTGAGGCAGATAAATCGGGGCGAACAGAGACAACACCAGACAAGTGATGGCAGTTTGAGAGAATATTTGAGACTTGAATAGTTGAGCTCAAGGTGACCAGGAGAGGCCGTGATTTAGTTGAGTTTGGTCGATACTGACCCAGACGATGACAGTCACGTACTTGAAACGAAAATCCCGATGTAGTTGCCAACTGAGTTAGTTCTTCAGTAACTCTCTCTATATCTGAGTTGATTCGTGTTACCCGTGGAGTACCCTGAGAGGGTTCAGTAATACCAAAGACAACAATGTTATATTTGCGATCCGTAACAGAAGGGATGGCTTTCTTACCAACTGTACCAGGGACATTAGTTTGTGGAGCAACCCCAGATGTAGGCGAAGAATGGGAAATGTGAATAGAGGGAGGGAAGGAAGGAGCTTCTTCTAATCTATTCTTGATTTGGATGATTTCAGTGGAGAGAGCCTCAATTGGTTGACTACGAGAGGACAGGGTTTCTTGTAAGGAGTTCAATTGACTGGACAAAGCTGCCAAAGACTCCTTGAGTGATATGATCTCAATAGATTGAGCCTCTAAGCAACAGCGAGTACAGCCAGTAGTCAGCCTGTTCCTTATGTAGAGTAGTTCCTAAAGGAAGGTAAATATGCTATTTGGCAGTATGAGACTGAAATTAAGACTCACCATAACTCTACTCACCATGGAATTCGTTATTACTGAGCTATCTGTCTGGCCGGCAGTCGAGGCTCGCCCCGCCGGGCCTAATATGAACTTCAAATTGACGAAGTAGGTTAGCTTTAAGCTCTAAACCATCAGTGAGTTGCAAGAAATAGGTAAGAAGAAGATTTGCAAGCAAAAAGTACCACTATTTTAGTAGTGAAAAGTATGGCAACTCATGCCACATGTCCTCCAAGATGGCGGGTAGCAACGGTTGCTATGTTTATATATTTACACAAAATGGGCGTGTCTGCAATGGGTCTATATAGCATCTTTTAAAAACCAGGTAAATAATCTGAATCTTAATCTGTAAAGTTAAGAAATGGCATTCGAAACGAGTACTTTTAAAAGTAAGTGCCTTACTATGACGTTACTACCTCACTGTTAATCATAGCTATAGATCAACCGAATAGAAGAACTGGTCACCGCACTGTATCAGTAGGTGATTCACTGTACCTGTGGGCTGGTAATCAAGATGGTTTGCCTGAAGTACATGATAGTGAAGAGAAGAGAAGGATCACTAGTAATATACAGCACTTTACTCCTTCAACTGGTCAATGGATCACTAGAGGTACTACTGGTACTCCTCCATTAGGAATCATTGGATACTGCTGTACTGCAATAAATGATCTATTGTATTATTTCGGGGGAGATTGTGGCCATGAAAACTGCTATCACAACAGTATTACACAACTGGATACCGTTAGTCTTCAATGGAGAGAATTAGAACCAACTGATGCAACTAGACCAGTTATGATGAGGGGTCATGGTGGAATGATGTCATTTGAACATGATGGAGCACACCATTTACTAATGATAGGAGGAAAAGGATCTAAACCAGCTGTAAAATTACCTGATTATAAATATATTGAGTTACCTAATGGAGCATGGCGTACTAATGAGCACTCAATATATAATATATTATCAAGTGAACTTTTGTTTTTTGAAATTTTGTTTTTAATTTTAATAATTTTATTATTTTAGAAAAATGGAGTAATCCTTCAATCATTGGTCAGTGTTTACCACCTGCTGGCGGCTTTATCATTGAAAAGATCAACAACACTAGAGCTGTTCTGTTTGGTGGAATGGAGACTGATGATAAGGCTAAGGAAACTGTTGCTAACAATATTTATTTATTAGAGATACATGTATCAATCAGCACTGTGGTATGTGTACACACACACACACTCTCTCTCTCCCTATTGTTATTTGTTAATGGGTATGGTTTTTTATTTATTAGTTCTGGCAGTGTATAAAGAAACGTAATGCAATAGAGCAATGGCCAGTAGGTAGATTCATGTATGGAGGTGCTATTATTATAACTGGATCAGACTGTCCTATGCTAGTGATAAGTGGTGGGTTAGATAAGCATTATGACACATTAGATGATTGTTGGATCTTTAACATCACTCAACATTCCTGGATAAAGGTATGTACAGTGAGATACATGTAAATTATTACTTTATTTCTATTAACAGTTAGATGTACCTCACTCTGTTAGTAAGAGAAGGAGTCATTCTCTCTCAGTGTTCATTATGAGTCCTCATTGTGTTTGGATGATAACTGTTGGAGGATATGCTTATAACTTCAGTGGTATTGACCAATTGAGCTTAATTGATGATATCAATGTCGTGATAACTGAACTAGGTCAGTGTGCACATTTTAATTTTACATTCATGTGTAGCCTAGGCTGTAGCTAATCCTACATTACTGTGTGTATATTTTTAATAGTTAATCTCTCTACATATATTATTATTTTTACATCCATTAGTTATCAACAGTCGAGGAGGGTGTCTGGTAGGTGATACATTTGATCCTAAAGAGATGACTAGTGAATACTACAAGAAGAAGTATTGGCACATAAAAGGAGTATGCTTGGAACACTTGGAGGAGTACCAGAAACCAAGAAAAGGAAATACAGCCGATATTGAGCAAACAGTACAAGCTCTTATGAAGAGGCTTGAAGAGAAGGAAATAAAATTGCAAGAAAAGGAGAAAGAAGTCCAAGCTTTTTGCCAAAAAATGGAGCAGAAGGAAAGAGACGAAGCAGAGAAAGATCAAGAAATAAGAAAATATTGAAGAGGATATGCACTTTTGACATTATTGCATGTTAAATTATTTATTACTCTAGAACCTTCTAGGACTTTTTGTGTTTTCTAGGACATTGCAAATTATTCTTATTTATCTGTATGTACATTATTACACATGTTACCAGAACATTCTAGATTCTTTTCAGTTTTGTATATAAGTGTTCTGTGTTGTGTTGATTGCATTGCATTATAGTTCTTAGTTATTGGTTTAAGTAAAGTTAACTTGGTTGTATTC